CGCGGGGGGACCGCGGCGCGTCTGGGCGTCCCGCCACCTGCATCCTCCAGGGCGAGAAAAGCCCCATTCGTAAGTACAGATCCGACCTAAGTCGGATCTGCGTAACTCAGGGACTGCCTGTACTGTATTTTCAATACGATATATCTTTAAAAAATTTAGACCAGTTTTATATTTACAGTACAGTGTGATATCAAGCTATAGTAACATAATATACCTTTACAGAAGTCAAATGTTTTGATACAATTTTAGTTGCTAAGTGCTGCAAACAACTGTTTTATAAAAATATAAACATGAGCACTGAAAAAACACCCAGAGGAAACCAGATCCATAGGCAACTGCCTTCTACTGAAAATATCATACAACTAGTCCTAAATATTCCTACCTCAGGAAATGAAAGTCAGTGTACCCAAAGTGAGTTTAGAAGCAACTAGATGACAAAAGCTGAATACAGTAAAATGACAATAATTGATGTGAATAGTGGAACATTTTCAATTGGACAGTATACTACAACCAAAACACTACAAAATATACGTTTCAGAGAGCTAGCTGTGTTAGTCTGTATCTGCAAAACCGAGGAGTCCTATTGCATCTTAAAAACAGATTTATTTCACCTAAGTTTTAGTGGATAAAATCCACTTCTCAGATGCACCTATTACTCACTTATTACTTACTTTCCCAGTAACCTATTACTAAGACACGCACAACAGGAAATATTTATAACCAACTCCACTGGATTGGGAATCAAACACCATATAGGCAACCTTTTTCACAATTATTTTCAGTTTCTTAGCTTTTGCTCATAATAAACACACAACTACACCTTTTAAGGCGTTGATAGTTCTGACTGACCTCCACTGTTTGGTTGATAGAGTCTCCAAGGATTGGCAGACCAAACTTCTCCCTTGTTTCTATGAGTGGGAAGCTCCCTCACTTAGGCCATGGACCTTGATCTAGATTCCCAGAGGTTATGGGAGAGTTGAGCTCTGCAGGCCTGGGGGCTCTTGGTCCTTGTGACCCGCAGTCAGAAAAGTGGGATCAGCCGGCCCAAGGGGCAGGACCTGGCAGCCCCCCAGTCACTGCGTTCGGGAGGTTATTGTAGCTGTCAGAGCGCATCCTCCTCTCCCAGGAGGCCCAGCGTCCCCGGGGAGACGCAGCGCCCCAGCGGTCTGCCCTTCGGCCTCCGCCGGGACCGGCAAGCTGCGCGTGGGGGGACGCCTACAAAACGGGGCTGGCTCCCGAGCCAGGAGCCCAGGCGGGCGCCATACTGGAAACTAAAATGGCTGCCCCGGGGAAGGGAGCTCAGTTCGGGCCGTGACGAGCGGCGCCCTCGCCTGCCCCAGCGCCAATGGACATCACCTCCCCGGCGCACCTCGGACAGGTACCGTCCCGCGCAGGCTGCCTCGGGGACTGGCAAGCGCCACTGGCCACAGCTCCCCCACCTACAGCTCGGCCCACTCGCTCCCCACCCCTAGAGCTCAGCCCCCCGTCACTGGATCCGGTGCCCCAGAGGAGCCGGCCCTCGGCCTCCTACCTGCAGCTCGGCCCGCTCCACCTCCCAGTGCGCCCTCTCCATCTCGAAGCGGGCCCACTCGTGCTGGATGTAGTGCAGGATCCCCGGGATGGTGTAGTGCTGGGGCCGGGACAGCTCCGCGCGGTCCCCCCCGTCCTGGCCCGCCGCTGCCGCCGGGACCTGGGGCTGCTGCCCCC